CAGGGCATCAAAATAGTGGTCCCAACCGTGGGAAGACTTCAGGGCTTTAAGCGCCCTTCTGATAGGGAGAAACGTCCCTTACCACTCGTACACTCTCAAGGAAGACCGCCCCGTCCGGGTGGTCTTCAAGAACATCCCAACGGAAATCTCTGAATAGGAGATTTCCGAAGATCTTCAGGACCAAGGAGTCCCAGTCATTCACGTGCACAGAATGCACAAAAAAGATGGGACCAAATATAATATGGTGGTCGCTTCGTGCGCTCCCACTGATAGATATCACCCGGTGTTTTCAATCACCAAGATTTGTGGGCTCTCCGGCCTCAAGGTGGAGAGACCCCACAAAAATGGCAATCTGGCGCAATGCCACAGATGCCAACTGTACGGCCATGCGGCAAAAAATTGCCACGGCAAGCCTAGGTGCGTCAAGTGCCTAGGCGACCATCCAACGGCGGACAGTCCCCGCCCCAAAGACCGCTCCCTTTGCACAGAGCCACCCAGCTGTGTGCTGTGCGGCCAATCCGGCCACCCCGCAAACTACCGGGGATGCTCCAAAGCTCCCAAGTCGTCGGCACCCAAGCTGGTGAAGCGTGCCATCGACCGCCAAGTAAGGGAATGCCCCCAAACCCCCCTTGCCCCCCAACGCCCAAGTCCCTGGAGCATACACAACACTCAGCGTCATTTCCCGGCGCTGAGGACGGTCCAACAACCGGCCATCCCCGGACTGATGGACCGCCCCATCCCAGCCACCGGCCCCGCTACCCTCCGCACAACGCGCACCGGTCACCCCTGCCCAAGGGATCGACTTCGATCCCTTTGAAATCATCTCTAGCACCTTCTGTGCATTCTATACCCCCCGGGCTATCCAACTAGCCACCGAATTGAAGGCCTGCAGAGGCAACCTCCAAGCCATCCGGCAGGTGTACGTCTAGTACCCTGACGTTCACGCCGCCATTAGGTCCCTCCAAACCCATAATTAATTATGGATAGGAACACGGCAAGAAGGCTAAAGCCGACTGCCCTTAGGTTAGGGTTCTTCAACGCCAACGGTCTTAGCAACCAACGCGACGAAGTCGCCACATTCCTCCGTGACCATCGAATAGACATCTTCTTGATCCAAGAATCATTCCTCAAACCCCATGTCCGAGACCCGAAAATTGCGAACTACAGGTTATGTCGGCAATGAGAGGTCTCGTTGTCACAAAGGAGGAACCCTCATATACTATAAAGGCTCCCTGCATTGCATTCCCATGGATCCCCCCCCTCTCAAGCATTTGGAGGTGTCGGTCTGTCGGCTAGGCATGACGGGACATAACCCGATCACCATAGCTTCCGCGTACCTTCCACCCGCCCCTGCCTCCGCCTCGGAGGCACATGAGGTTAACGACGCGATCCGAGACGATCTTAACTCCTTCTTCGGCTTGAGCGATTCCGTCATCGTGGCGGGGGACCTCAACGCCAAACACCCCGCGTGGAACAGCAACATCACCAACCCTCGTGGTAAGGTGGTGTACGACCTTTGCTCGACCCTCTCATTTGATGTTATCGCACCGATGCATCCCACCCACTACCCGTTCGATCCCACCCATAGGCCGGACGTCCTCGACATCGCTCTTCTCAGAAACGTAAACTTGCATTTGCACTCTGTGGAGGCGATGGATGGATTTTATACCATCATTCAAAAATGCCGCCTAAGACGAGTAAGTAAAGGCTGCCAAGAAATCAAGCAAAGACCCGAAGACCATAAATAAGGCATCCACGAACACTAACTTCACCTCGTACATCTTCAAGGTGTTAAAGCAATTTCACCCGGACATCACCATCTGCAGCAAAGCAATGTACATCGTAAATTCGTTCCTGAACGATAGCTTTGAGCGTATTCCCTCACCTTTCATTAAACGTAAACTTTTCCGATATTATTATACAAATTGGAGATTCATTCCTTGCGTCGTCGGCAGGCGATACATACCAAAAAGCGCTTTTCAGGGCTATAAATTTGATCATAAATATTTTCTAAAATAATCATTTATTTAAAACAGAAAGTCAACTACGAAAACGTTAATTTGATCACGTAGTCGATCATGTCGACGATTATTAGCGTATAGTTGTGTATAGTGAACAATAGTTTATCTGTGTGAATAGTGTTCACAACAAGTCTCGAAAAATGGTGTACAGTGAACAATAGTTTATCCGTGTAAATAGTGTTTGTGATTCGTGACAATGAAAAACAAAAATAATATATTTATATCAGTATAGATACAATTTATTTTAGTTTATTTAGTTAAGTTTGCGTAAACACGTCAGGAAGACGATATTTCAACTCATGTTTTATTGCTAATGCGTAATTCCACCTCTAAGGCACAAATTTGTAAAGATAATTCAAAGAAAATAATGACATGTCAAAATATAATGTTACCGCCACGGAATTATGACAAATATAATACCTACGACAAATAAAGTTTTCCACAGAAGAGCGAAATCTAGGAAAATTGTCGTGGCGAGCATAGAAATATTTGACATTATCAAGATTTTCTTGCATCAAGTACAAAATAGTTTCAAAAACAAATGTAAATAGTTATAGATATAGATTTAAGTTATACAAAAAATGTAATATAATATAAATGTCGTTTTTAGACATTTTAACTTTCTTGAACCACAGTGAACGAACTGAACTATTTCAATACTGTGCGGAGTTATCGTTCCACAGTTCCATACTCTGTAGTTCACCGGCTCATTATAATTCCGATTCCCGCGTCTCTAGTCTAAGCGTCATTGTGTGTAGGTAGGAACGAGAGCCCAGCGTTGCCACAAGGTTACTTTAGTAACCTGTCAGGTGATTTTTGAACTGCTTTGGTAACTTTTAGGTTACACGAATGAAAAGGTTACTTTTAGCCTTTTACGTTTTTTTCAGAATTTTTAGAATTAACTTTTTTTTATCAAAGTAACATGAAACGGAGCGCTCGTTTTAGAATTTTTCATGTTGGCAAGCTTTACCAATATCGTATGATGGATGGATAATTTTTTGTGGTTCGTTCGTTAAACTTCGTTCGTTTGCCGCTGCCACTTGAATTTGTTTGTTTGTTGTCTCTGAAAGTTTAGTGTGTCTAAAATAAAATGCAACAAGGATGGTGATGAAGGCCGGTACTTATTGCTTTTTCATATTTTTTTAAAGTTTTATTTGAAAACGTGGAAAAAACATATGATTTTAAATTTTCAGGTGCCGATCTGCTGTCTTCGCTCATGCATTCTTCAGTTATCATTTTAATTATATATTATTATTAAAGTCGCATAATCACAATTGTTCTACCCAATTAATAAATTAGCTTTGCACTATAACCCGTTATTACTTAAAATAAATATTTGTGGTGCAGTCAGACATACAGGTAATTCTGAAATGTTCATATTTTCATATTATAGAAATCTTGAATTGAATCATATTTAGTACTTAACATGTACAAGAATGCATATTAGACGCGTGCGCGCGCATTTGAACAACCGTATTTTTGCGATATTTCGATACTCGATTCACTTCATATCCATCTTCAATGACGAATCATTAAATTAAAAAACGCCAATACAAACCAATAGAACTAATATTGTATTCTATCAACTTATAATGTGTACCTTTCCGGTTTAAAAATATAAAAGGTTATTTTTTATACAAAAGGGTTACATTTTTTTATATTCCAAGTAACTTCTGACATGACCCGAGTGGCAACACTGCGAGAGCCCTTTGTTTGTTGTATACGTCACCAACTCAACTCACCACATGAACGTAACAAGATTTGATTCGTTATCGCATTTACACACACTGACAATTATTGTTTAGCTTTCTTAGTATACGATATTCTAGAGTCATTAAGGTTATTTTAGATTAACATTCTATTTTATGCAACTTTGTTTACGTTATTAGGTCGTTTTTTTAAAGTGGTCAGAGACAGAGAGTCGAATTGCGTTGAGTGACATCTTCCTATTGTGCCTGCTCTTTGTTTTTATATAAAATGGCTTCTAAACGTAAACGTAGTGATATTTGGGGACATTTTAAGGAAGTAGAACCAAAAAAAGCGAAATGTGATTATTGCAGTGCAAAATTAAGTATTACGTCTGGAAATACAAGTAATTTGTAGCGCCATACGACCAGGAAACATCCTGCAATACCTATCGTTTTGGAACGGCAAGTTGAAATAAATACTTTAGGATCTAATACTCAACCATCAACTTCTGCTGACCAACAACAAACATCGCAACAAACACCGCAACAACCAGCGCAACAAAATATTACTGATTTTATCATCAGAAAAAGACCTATTTCTGTACAAAGATCGCAGGTTATAGATAAGCAATTGGTGAAGTGGATATCGAAAGGCCAACATTCTCTACGTCGTTGACGAACTAGAGTTTAAAATATTATTACAAATGGTGTCTCAAACTCCAGGCTACAGTTTACCTGCTAGGAAAACGCTCTCAAAAAGTTTAATCCCAAAAATTTATAATGAGACCGTAGAGTTGATGAAGAGCAAGCTTGCCTCTGCCAAAGCAGTTTCTGTTACAACTGATGGTTGGACATCAGACTACACAAAAGATAGCTACATTGCAGTGACAGCCCACTATATAAATGAAGATATGGAGCTGTCTTCATGTCTGTTAGAATCGGGAATTATCGTATAACATCGGAGTACTCGGAGCAGTACTCACCTACCTATAGCTACGATCAAGGTACTTCGGAACACCGACGACGAACTAGCGGCGATCGACCACGTTCAACTCTAAACAAGATCGTTGGTTTTCTTCGCTTTCTTCCAAACATCACAACCAACATCGGTGTGTTGGGACGTCCGTCCGACGTATGTCGTGGCAACGGAAAATGGGTTTCATTTATATAAATATATAGAATCGAATATTATCAAAAAAAAAATCAGTCTTAAGTCTATGTTGGTAGAACTTGAAAATTGATGTTGGCAACACAGCTTGACTTGACGCCATTTTGTCACTTGTCTTTTATGAAGTGATTTTATTCTGGTGTTTTATACATATGAAAGCGTTCAAGAATTGTTTTATGTATGTATTTAGTATTTTCTTGACTTTTTGCTAATACGGTGACGAAATTAAAATAGAGGTATGTACATTTTAGTTTCGAATCATACTTAATAAGCCTA